TCAAACTCTGCACATACATCATCCTGCACTGTGACGCTCAAACATTCAACTGTAAGAAGGAGAAGAAAACACTGATCTTTGAGTTAAATTTACCTTAAATCATTAAGTTTTTAGATCCAATAATCATATAAACCAGAGAGTTGATTGATTTATGTTAAACAGGGTCGGTTATTTTACATCAATCTGTATATCGGAAAACAACTTCAACAGTGTACAGTACTCATCACTTGTTACTCTTTTCAAAGGTAATATTATTACATAAGTTAATTTAACACAAAAATAATTTTTGAAACTGATTACATCAAAATTTTTAAGTAACACAAACAAAAAATTCTTCATTAAGCCGCTTTTACTAGTAAATTTGAGTGGCACTAACTTAGTTTTATAAGTTACATAATAATTTCTGATTAATAACTTTTTACTGGGTATTTTTTACAGTAAATTACACTCTCACTTAAAATTACTCAAGTTTCTTGATAAAGAATGTTATTTTTAACTTTAAAATGTAGTTACAAAGACATTTTGATCAGTTAGTTAATTGATGAAACACTTTTTTGAGTTAAATTAACTTGTTGTCAGGGGCTGAAAATGTACTAGTTACATTACTTTTCTGCTACTCCCTAAATTGTTAATTGTGTCCCTTTCTCCCCAAAATTTGATCAAAATCCAGTTTTTGTTTGTTAAAATCAAGGCGGTTGCAAACAAAAGTGCTTGTAACTAATTCTTTTTTAGGTGGTAACTGTAATATCATGACTGAAATTGATTAGTAATTAGTTACACTACTAGTTAGTGGAGAAAGTAATATTATTACTGTAATATTATTACTAGTAATGCCTTTCTGCCAAACACTGGTCTTCAATGCCAGAACCACTTCATCGCTGCTAAACTCTAAGTAGAAAATTAGCTTGGAGAGCAAAATTAATTTCCATGTCAGCAAGTTCCAGCTCCGCAATAACAAGGCCCGACCATAATTGGAAAAACAAAGTGGAAAGCAGTTAAGTAGATTAGAGTTTGACCACATTTTGTCTGCCTGGGCACCAGAAGCTCGTAGTCACCAGAAGATGGGAGACACATGGGGAGGGGGGAGAAGAAACACAATTAGCTCAAAAGATTAAAAGAGCAGTGAAGACACACTCCTTGTGAGCATCTTTAGCCATATGGTGGCTACTCTCTTCACGCTTGGCCAACACACTGTTGACCTTTGTAAGATTTACCAGTTAATTAGTGTTCTGAGATCAGTGTTTCTGCGCGGATTCACCCAATTACACACCGATTACTGATGTGGATATGGAGTCATTTAGGTTTCTAAGGAGTCAGGAAACACAGAAGGTTACATTTCCACCCTCCTGATTTCATGCACATTATTTGAGGGGTCTTTAATTGATAGTGACAGGAAACGGAGGGGAGAGAGAGAGAAGGAGAGACACGCAGCAAAGGGCCACAAGTCGGAGTCAAACGCATCAAATTTGTGCACAAAACAGTTGAATTTAAAAGGTGGAAAAGTTTTCATAGCAGAAAAAATAAGATGAGATGTAGGCCGACAGAAATCTGCTCCTGCTGTAGATAAACAATGAATTAAAAAGTCAGGTCTGGTTTCAGTTGCAGCTCACCTGCCTCTGTCTAACAACACGGGAATCAGAAGACAATTCAACTCTTAAACAAAGGATTAATAATGTGATCTTTTTGCAATGTCTTGAATATATTCACATAAAGGTAGCTTTAATTTGCTTAAAACTTGCACAACATTCAACACCATGTAGTGAATAGGCCTCTGTATTAATGTGTATTTTATTGCACCTGAGTTTTGTACACTAAGATTTAGATTTTTTATGTTTTTTGTGTTTATATTTTATCTGACATTGGGTCAATTTAGACCACATTTGTTATATGAAAACCGAACTTTCTGAGCTTTGAACTGAATGTTTAGATGATTTATTTTACTTAAATGTAAAAACAAAAGTGACCTTATGCTTATAATAATAATATATTACAGTAGTTACAGGACACATGTTCTTCTTGTCAACAGTTAAAAAGCCTGAAAATTTAGTATTTAGTCCAAAACCAACTAACCGACTAGTGTCCGACTCATCTATTCTTCATGCATTATGCAGCTTTAATTTACTTATGATGTGCTGGTGGTGCCTTTAATATCTTATGAGCAAAAAGACCTCATGAGTGATAGCATTATTGCTTTATTATTTATTGAAATCACGTGTATTATCCACTCAAATAAAGTGAGGTATGTAAAAAAGGGGGTCAGGGTCAGAGTTTGCAAATCCTTAATTATTAACCACGGTTATAATTACAAAAAAATAATAATCTAAGGAGGGATGGAAGGGTCTAAATATATTGATTTTAGTCATTTATAAAATTCCTTCCTCCAGTTATTCCTCTTACAGATAACAGCAATGTTCAACCTTTAGTGAGATCAGTTGAGTATCTCACATGCAATGTTCACTATGTCTAATATCACATTTCTAATACTCAACTATTAGTAAAACCTGCTTTAAAAATCTAACATAAAGAATGAAAATGTAATAAAAAAGTATTATATCTGATGTTTTTGGATTAATATTACTGCTGTGCATGTTGTGTTTTACTGCTGTAGATGTTGAAGGTCGAGCTCATTTTAAACTGTTTTATATACAG